ATCGACTATGGTCAGAAAATACTGGTATCCATGATGTGTTGGAGTCCTATATGGACCCCAAACGTCAATATGCAAAAGTTCAAAAATTTGCTTACTTTTTATACAGCTAACAGTAAACGGGAACTTTGTCTGCTTGGATTGAGCACAAACATCACAAACTTTATTCATCAAGGAACTATCCTTTATTACAAAATTTAGATGCTTCATAACAGAAAAAGGGGCATGTCCCAATCTTTGGTGCCAAAGACAAACATCAGAACTATTAACAATTTTATGATCACTTTGAACAGCACTAGCAATATGACCAGATCTAGCAATTTTCAAGTAGTATAATCCACTAATCTCTTTACCAATCATCCTCATCTTCCCATCCTGAAGGCCCTGCATTACACAGAGGTCAGGAAAGAAAGATACAACGCATTTATACTCTTTTGTAAATCTAGAAATTGATATGAGATTGAATTTCAGAAGTGGAGCATGCAGGACATCAGATATAACTATATCATCAGATATTCTAGCCGTTCCTATGTGAGTTACAGGCACACGATTTCCATCAGGTAACCTAATTGATCGAATAGGACCATTATAAATCTTATAATTCTCAAGTAATTCTAGGCTTCCTACCATATGTATTGTAGCTCCAGAATCAAGAATCCAATTGACATAAGCTACATTATAAGAATTAGGAATCGCCAAACCTGTACCGGTCAAGGCGTGAACGGTGGTCTCTGACTCCTTCTTCAGAAGCTCTAGGAGTTTCTGATATTGCTCGTTGGTGAAGCTTGGTGCTACCGTGGTTGCTTCATTTGCATATGCCTCTGGATCATGAGTTGAATCGGACGCAGCTTGTCCCCCCTCTTTGATCTGCTTGGTTCGAATTCCTCTGAAATTGGGAGGATATCCCACTAATTGGTAGCAATTCTCCCTCAGGTGTCCTTTTCTTTTGCAATGTGTACACTCAAGATTACTCTCCCCTCGTCCGCGGCCTCTTCCACGACCACGCCCCCTGGCGGCCATTGCAATTCCTTCTCCTGGGGACGGCCTATCATTACTGGCGATCGATTTCTGAGTCTCATCTTGAATTATCATGGCGTAACCTTCGTTCACTCCTGGCAGAGGGTTCATCAGGAGGATTTGGCTTCTTGCGTGATGATACGAATCACTGAGGCCCATCAAGAACTGAAGAAGCTTCTGTTCTTGAACAATTTGAGCATAGCTTCTTGAGGTCTCGCATGTGCAGGAGGGCAGAGTGACTAGCGCCGACTGTTCCTCCCAAAGTTCCTTTAACTTCGAGAAATATGCGGCGACTGAGAGGGATCCTTGTCTCAGGGAGGTGATTTCTCGGTGAAAGGCGAAAATTCGAGCTCCATTCTTTTTATCAAACCTCTCCTTGAGATCAATCCATACGTGGTGTGCGTTCTGGAAGAATATAACCCCATTGCGCGAGTTCCTTTGAGAGCGAGTTGAGGATCCAGGACAAGACCACGGCATTGCACCGCTCCCACTGGTCGTGCAGTGCCTCGTTGTGGTTTTCTTTCTTGCAAGCTCCAGTGATGAATGCGAGTTTATTCTTCCCCAACAGAGCGATCTTCATTGCTTGACTCCAAACCGTGTAATTCTCTGTGCCGATGAGAACGTGGGAGATGATTGAGGCCCCTTGCGTGTCCGATGGATGGAGGTGCAGGGGATGAGTGAATGGTAGGTTCTCGGTCGCAGTCTTTTCGTCCGCCATGGAAGACTCTGTTCGTGGGGTTGAGAAAGATTGAATCTCGGTTTAGGGAAGAAAACGGGCTTACTATTCGAAGAGAGGGAAAACCCTCGGCTCTGATACCATGTGGAATTTTGGGCCCAATACTGATACAGCAACGCACAAAGAAACTGAATGGAAATTTTGTATTACTGAACTAGAGTAATGTACAACACATGGACCCCTCTAACTAAGACTCAAGGCCCGACTCCTATTTATAAGAAGCAGAAGATAAAAATAAACCAAGAAGGTTAAAGAACCTAAATGTCGTATTGAGTAATACGACAGATTATTAAATTACAAATACTCCTATTTTAACATGATCCTCGATTCATAGGCGGGGACGGCAGAGTGTTCTACTTCCTCGGAAAGAGCAACCAACACTTCGCCTGGTCTCCGACTCCGACCTCCAGATCAACGCTCGCTTCATAGGACACAGACCTGCCGGCTGAAGCCGAGACTATGCTTGGATGCAAGCCCTCGGTATCCTCTCCAAGTCTCAGACTTTCTCACTCGAAGCCAGCAAGGAGGCACAATCGAACGACGACGTCGACCTTCTCAAGTTCAGCTACAATGGCAACGATGTTGTCCTCCCAGAAGGCTCGCCCTCCAAGTCCACTCTCCAGAACAAGACAACAAGGTGGAGAGAGTGGCTAATAAGAACAGCGTGATGGTTACAATCAAGGACGTGGCGGAAATTATGGTGAACGTGGTGCCGGTGACGAAGGAAGATGACAGGATTCACAACTACCAGCTGCCTTCAGATGACTGCTTTGCCCACTTGGAAGTTCAGTTCAGGTTCACCAAGTTGTCTGATATTTTCTCCTTCAGATGACTGCTACCGTCGGCTTCTGATATTTTCTCCTTCTGATAACTCTCCCCGGATCCCCCTAGTGGTTGTGAACAACAATTAAATATCAAAATTAACTTAATTCATATTCACACCATGCATTTGCAGACTTGTTTATTACTTACAGGAGGAAGGAATGAGTGATGAGACAAGGATCGTGCCAGCGCGTCCGTCTCCTTCAATATCTTCCACAGCTTTCACCTCTGAGAATTTCTTTTCATCAAAATATATTAGGTCACCCTTGCAAAATAGTAAATCTCTTAATTTAAAATTATTTTAATATGACATCAAAAACTGTTTATTTTACACTAAAGTAGAGTTTCCGGTCAAACCTTGGGTTAAAATAAAAACACTGAACACAACACTAAGCCCACTTTGTATTTGTATTAGATGTTTTTGGATAAGCATTTGTATTAGATGTTGATTGTTGAGTTCGCGATCAACCCGACCTAGGCTTGGCAAATGGGCATGATTTTTTTTGTTTTGGGCCAGAATGGACAGATTCATATACAGCATATTTCGTAATTATCACAAAAATACTCATTTGAACCAATAAGTGTAGAGAATTAAACACCTTAAACATTATAGCTTAAGTTCAATCCTTAGGATGATGTATATAGAAAAAAACATCATTAGAAGGGGTCTCCGTTACGGTGCTTGACAGTGCCCTAAAAGATTAGTCTCTTATCATTTGGGTAAAAGGATAATCTGGGAAAAAAAAAAGCTCATTTGAACCACTTAGACTAATTTTAATCTTAGATGGTTCAAATTTAATTTAAATTTTTATATGTTTTAAATATTTTTTATTTTAATAGATACAAAATTTGAAATAAAAATAGTCTTATGACTAACACTTTTTAAAAAATATAAATTTATTATTAAAAGAACTTAAATTACCAGCATTAACATGGCAAATATTAACATATAATTTTGAAAAAAAAACATGATAAAAAATAAATAATTTAAATATGAAAATAAATAAATACATAAATGAAGGACAAAAGTAATTTTGTAAATAAAAACAATGCATGATAAACAAGAAGTTTAATTTATTTTTCCTTCTAACTTTTTTGGGCTTCTCGGCGCCCGTGTCATGAGTTCAATCGGCAACACCCTCTGACCCATGTTCTTCCTTTTTTCTCTCTACACGCCTCCCATAATTTACGTTAAACAAAGGACACACGTTCTATTAAAAGTCAATGTCGGTTTCATCACAGTAATTTCATCAAATCTCAACCCTCAACTGTTCAAACTTAATATGAACAATCAAAATGTAATTTTATATTTTCTACGGCCCTATTTATAAGGTTCAAATTAGAGAAGAAGTATAGTCTATTTTATGAGCTTCACTTTAGATTCGTCTTAACATTTAATGTATTTTTTTAATATTATTCTTAATTATTTCAGAACTAGTTTCGGTACTCTAAATTTATTAGATTTGGATCATCCATATTTTATTTAAATGGTTTAGATTTGGTTTTTTATTTATTTATTCAAAAAAATTATTTTATTATGTATAGAATATAAAATAGAGATAATCTCTTAACCATCATTTTTTTCAAAAAATATTTTTTTATTTAAAAATAATTAATTAAATATTTTTAATCTAGGCCGTTCAAATCAGATATACACATTTCAGATCTGATAAGTTTAGAGTACTCATCAAGGCGATGAGCACTGAAACTAGTTCCAATTATTTCTCTTTTGTCACATTTTTTTTACACATATTCTCTTTTATTTTTTTCTCATTTATTATAAGGCATATTTAGAAACAAAAGTATTTTTCTACCCTATTTATTATTTTAAACTAATTATTCATTATCTATGAATTAGTTATTTGAAACTTATAATAGGAATGGGAAGGAATATATTTTTGTTTTTTTAAAAATGTTTTCTGTTTAAAAGTTATTAGCTGGAAAATTTACACCCTTATACCATTAAAACTATATCTCAATGATGTAGATTTCACCGGTCCGTTCTATTATTGTTGTTTTCATGCTAAGCTAGGTCTCATCAACCATAGCTGCTTGCCATCCCCATAAGCATGCGTGTCCCAACTAAGAACTGATTTGGCAAGCAGCGTGTATCCCGCGAATCATGGCAATACTGCTTCAATCCATCGAATAACATCACCTTCACCGTGTACCCTTCTACAAGAATGAACTGCATGCATGTATCCAATATCCAATATCCTTTTTAATTCTTCATTCAATCAGGGAATCCCATGTTCATACTTCCAGTTTGAGCCAACAATGAATCACGTCACAAGTTTGCAAAAGCTTCCTTCACAATTCAGAAGCAACCCACTTGATGATTTTTCCTCTATATAATGCAGGGCAAGTTTGGGACACCCCCATCATCATCAACTGTTTCTTCATATATTATTCGCAGGGAACATACGATATGGAGATCGCTAAAGGCAGTTCCATCCTGATTATCAGTCTGGTGTTGGTCTCAAGTTTGATCCAAGCCCAGGCCTATTATGCACTCTACTGTGGCCACAAAACCAGATGCTCTGGAAAGTACATCAGATGCCCATCCGAATGCCCAACCAGCGAATCCACTGATCCTCAGGCTAAGGTCTGCTTCATTGACTGTGACCAACCTGTTTGCAAGGCTGTCTGCAGAAGTAAGCTCTCTTTCATTTCGCAAGCTTACTTTTAAGATTCTATCTTGGTATCGAACACCCATCACTAGATTATTAGCTTAATTGATTTCATGTTTTGATGATTTAGAACGGAAACCCAACTGCAACGCACCAGGATCTGGATGCTACGATCCTCGATTCATCGGCGGAGATGGCAGGGTGTTCTACTTCCACGGAAAGAGCTTCGAACACTTCGCCTTGGTCTCGGACTCTGATCTCCAGATCAACGCCCGCTTCATCGGACACAGACCAGCCGGTCGAAGCCGAGACTATACTTGGATCCAAGCCCTCGGCATCCTGTCCAAGTCTCAGACTTTCTCTCTCGAAGCCAGCAAGACTGCACAGTGGAACGACGACGTCGACCATCTCAGGTTCACCTACAATGGCAATGATGTGGTCCTCCCAGAAGGCTCGCTCTCCAAATGGAACTCTCCGAAACAAGACATCAAGGTGGAGAGAGTGGCTAATAAGAACAGCGTGATGGTGACAATCCAGGACGTGGCTGAAATCATGGTGAACGTGGTGCCGGTGACGAAGGAAGACGACAGGATTCACAACTACCAATTGCCTTCAGATGACTGCTTCGCCCACTTGGAAGTTCAGTTCAGGTTCACCAAGTTGTCTTCTGATGTTGACGGTGTGCTGGGAAAGACCTATAGGCCGGATTTTGAGAACCCTGCGAAGCCGGGAGTGGCTATGCCGGTGGTGGGTGGCGAGGACAAGTATAGAACTGCATCATTGCTTTCTGCAAGGTGTGAGTCATGCCTTTTTAAGAAAAAATATGAATAACGCCTTGAGAAAACAATAAAGTCCAGAGCTGGGTAAACGTCAAATATTGCGATCTCTTCTTACAAAATAATATTCAATGGTTGCTGTTTCTTTACTATTCGCACTACGTTGATGTAACTTTTCAATTTGATTTGTTATGTGAGAGTCATACTTTCACTGTATGAGTAAGAATTAAGTTTATTTGAATAAAATATTTCCATGTTTTTTTTATCATTAGGGCTTCCGGCTTCCGCATCTCTATGAATAGCCAATTCGAGATTATTGGCGCCAAACAATACGGAACCAGTTTCTTTCTTTTTATTAACCGAGCCGCGTAGTCAGATATTCTATCCGTGTATGTATCATGTAGTGACAAAAAATAGAAATTAAAGCCTCCCGCATATCACTTCTTCTGTTCTACACATAAATAAAATTGATTTGTACAATAAAATTAAAATCTTTTTAAAGACGATATTATCTCCAGTCCTAATTATAAGAACTACTTGACTAATTTGATGATATTAAAGAAATAAGTTAAGTTAGTTATTTGTAATAAATAAGTATTATATTTTCTAAAATATTCTTGCTAATCAAATGTATTGGCCAGAACTACTATTATTAGAAGGACTACTTTGAAAAAAAATACATAAATATGAAAGACAAAATGGATTGGGATTTTATATTTAAAATTAAAATAAAAATAAAATAAGGTCTTGTATTAAGGACCGGAGGTAGTACTATTATTTTTATACTATATATATAATATGAAACAAAGAAAATTCAAAATACTCTCCCAATTAGGAATGGGATAGTTGGATGCTGAGTCTAGAGCTGGTAATATGGGTTGAACCCGCAGGTTCAACCCGCCAACCCGCCAAAAATGGCGGGTTAGGGTTGGCCAAAAACCAACCCGCCAATAAACGAGCCTTTTTAACCCGCACCGCAAGGCCCGCAACCCGCCGCGGGTTAGCCCGCCAACCCGCGGGCTAACCCGCATTTATTTTTTTTATTTTTAAAATTTTTTTTAATTATTATAATTATATTATTATATAGTATATCCTATCTAAAAAAATATTAAAAAATACTTATATAATTTATTTGGTACTTTTAATCAAATATTTCAAGAAAAAACAAAAAATTTATTATTATTTTTAAATATTATATAAGAAAAATATATTAAAAAGTAAAAAAAATATTTTAAAAAATAAATAAATAAATGTTGGCGGGTTGGCGGGCCAACCCACCAACCCATCTTGGCGGGTTAGGGTTGGCTAAAAGCCAACCCGCCTTCAAACGAGCCTTTTCAGCCCGACCCGCCATGGGTTCAACCCGCCACAGGCCAACCCGCAACCCGCGGGTTGGCCCGTATTACCAGTCCTAGCTGAGTCTCTGTCACTAACAGTAATGGATTGTGTGGAATGCTCAATTTCAGTATAAAGTAAAATGCTTGAACTTTGTAATATAGGTATATTACGATGGGGGCATCTTGACCTAACTAATTATCACGATTTTTTTCTTTGAAAAAGAAAAAAATGAGCAAGCCTAAACCACTCTATTGCCCAATTTGGGGGGATCTGATGTGTTCGAGGTCCTCATTCTGCACTAAATAATGGAACGGTCAATATCTAAGGAACGACAAAAATAAATAGTAGAGGATATGGATAAATTATTTTCGGCATTGAAATATTCTTGATTTTTTTTTTGATAAGATGTCCCTCGGAAAAGTCAAAGAAATATGTCACACCAAGTGTGGATTTTAGGCTGCATGCGAAAGGCATTCTTAAGGAATTTTTGAATTATCATCACAACTGTGTGTTATTTCTTTAAATAAAAGAAATTATCAAAATGCAAGCGGAGCTAATATTAATGGCATTAATTCATTAAAACAAGATAATGTGGCTAAATATGACTGGAATAAAATCCGGATATGATATGAAATGATTTCCATCAAATCACGTGATCAATAACAAGACAAAGGCTACCAAGCCATGCAATGCGACAAATTTTACTGGAGACGGGTAGCAGAGAAATTCATTAATTGACTATTTAAAGATCAAACTAACGTTCTAATTAATCCACGGGATAAAATATATATCTATGAGCTTGCTTGCAATATTTATATTCGTACCGTTATTCCAAACAAACATTATACAAGTCTGTTTTAACCATCTCATACAGATAAAATAAATTTATAATATTAAATACTTAACAAATTTGTAAAAAATTTTAAATATATATTTAATAAAATTTAATATATACTGCGTTGATTATAATGAATTAATTACTTATAAAGTTTATTTTGTTGTTATTTAACTTACGGAAAGAACTCACGCATTTACATAGGGGCAAACAAAGCAACATCTTGTGTTTAAGCAGAATTTAAGAATGTCTTAAGTATCAGTATCAGTTAAGTTAAAATAGATCTAACTAACTACTTAGAAAGTTTTACTGCACAGAAGAATAGAAAAATAAACATTAAATACCCTAAATATTAGTAAATTGAATTTATATTTTCAATCAAGCTAAGGTGGGAGAAAAGGAGTTATATCGTAGATTGGAGGAGCGTTTTATTTATGAAAAAGAACAAAAGGACTAAACTGATGCAGAGAATAGAGGGACTGAGCCAGGCTCAAGATGATCAAGCACCATTTAAGAGATATTTTTGCAGGCAGCTAAGGTAGAATAAAGTAGGCTCCGCTGACTTCAAATCTTCCTTCTCAGATTCATAACTTATCTTCACGTTGACTTCGGTTTGATCCTCACCTTTTGCACATAGCTGAAAGGTCGTCTTGTAGAACGAGAAACCACGATCCAGATGGCCACCTTCAATCACTTCTAACCCTATCTCATGTGAACTCAAATCAAGCTCTGTAATTCTCTCCTTCTGATAACTTCCTTCTGATGCATCAGTAAAATTAAACAACTATCAGCACTTAAAGATCAGAATCAATGAACGAACTTGATTGATTCAGAGGGTTTTGATCACTCACCGGAGCAGAAGTTGAAGACGAGGATGGTGCCGAGGCCTCCGTCTCCTTCCAGCACTTGCACATCTTTTACAATCTGCGGGAGTACCTTTGGGGCTATGACAATGAAGTCCTTAGACAGAGCTCGCCATAAGATTTGCAGCCCCACGCTCACTACTGTTTGGGTCTTGAACTCTTTCACCATCTTGGTGTTTCTTATCGCACGACTTAGAGATTTGTTGGGGGCATATATACAGGAATTAGGAGCTATAGCGCATACCTCGTGTGGCATGCGATGTAGGCTCTGATCAAGTTTGAAAAGATTCCCTTTTTCTCGAAGTCCTCCCTTATAGAATATGTACTCTAGATCTAAATCAACACGCTCTCACACAATGATTCCGCCCCATAATACTGTCCCACGCTACAAATTTTGGTCTATCTATCGCTAATAGCATCTACTACCTCCGCCTTTAATTATATAGTAATATAATAAAAAATCGCAGTTATTACCAACTAGTACACTTATCTTAATATTTATTGGGAGCTAGACAGCTGATTCTTTTACTGGCCATTAAACGACTGACAGAGAGATGCAGAGAAAAAAATATAGGGGGCAGCGCACCAGCCCCGACAAGCTAGAGGAATTGAATTCAATGGTAAGGATAATGTTTGGAAAAGATAGAAAAAGAGGGGAAAGCGGACAATATTGAAAAGATGGATCGAAGACTGACGGAGTCTTGTGAAGAAAAAGATATATATATATAGAGAGAGAGAGAGAGAGAGGATTACTTTTATACAACAAGTTCAATTGATGTATTAGTGTACGTACTTTCGTCATCAACTACGTTATAATTGTATCGAAAATTGCAGGAGTATATCAACATGGAGAGATAATAAAGTGAATTTCCTTCGATAATCGGAGCGGGCAATGAAATAAAAATCAGGGAGCGGCGTGACTCGAGTATCAATATAGACTTCTTTTAATATATCCGCATCTAATCATCTCTTTTCACTTTTTCTTTCTCCTTCTTTGGGGGCCTCTACTTTTTCTTTCAATAATCATGAGAAGCGATCTGGATCTATGATCTCGCAAGCCACACAGGAGCATGGAAGCTTCAAATCGAGCAAATTAAAGCTTCCAAGCTTCAGGATCGACCTCTGGTTCTAGAGATTCGGTAGTATTTTCGCTGAAGCAGGAGCTCCTGGATCTTTTCTTAACGCTGCCATTATTCAACTCCAATCAAGTTTCAAAAAATCTTGAACTCTTGATCTGTAGCATGCGCATTGGCGCGTGATCCACTTTTTTTAATATAGTAGCTAGGTATCAGTTGGATTCCACCTTTCAATCTCCAAACTAATTTTTGAAATTAGCAAATGAACCGATGCTTCCTCTTCAGAGACAAACTCCGAATTGAACACAGAAACAAACAAACAAACAAACCAAAAAAAAAAAAAACAAGTAGGTGGGATATTCGAGTATAGAGAGAAACAAAAGTGAATTCCTTCTCGAGAGCTCACTTACAGATTCATGCTAGCTACATATAATGATCCAGAGAACATACTGATCGAACACTCCCCTATATTAGGCTCGGGATTTCATCTATTTCTATATATTATCCAGTATGTACACACACAAAACAAAGCAAGACGAAATGGCCAATGTATTCAAGCACCATTGAGCAGATATTTTTCCAGCTTCTTGAAGAAGCTTAAATAAGTAGATTCCGCTGCCTTAATTTGCTCGCTGATTTCTTCACTTTCAGATTCATAATAAATCTTCACATTGACCAGAGTTTGATCCTCTGATGGTTTTGCAGATAGCTGAAACATTGTCTTGAAGTAGGAGAAACCTCGATTCAGATAGCCACCTTCAACCACCTCGATCCCAATCTCATGTGAAACCACGTCAAGTTCTGAAATTCTCTCTTTCTGATAACCTACAGTGGATGCACCTGTACGTAGTGAACAACTCATCAGTGCAAGAAAATTAGCATCAATTAAAGATCAGAATCAACTTCATTTCACAGCATGCATTTTGCTGGTTATACTGACGGGGACACAGAGTGAAGAGAAGGATTGTGCCGACGCCTCCATCTCCTTCAATCACTTGAACGTCTTTGACAAGCTGAGGGTTTACGTTTGGAGCAATG